CATTCCATGTTCTGTCCCTACATTAACCTCAGAGCTCTCCCTGCTTCTGTCAGGCAAATGAACCCCTTCCTGATTCCACACACACACACAGGTGTAACAACCCGCAGGAGCGTCAGGGGAGGCTCCAGGAGATGGACTTTTCCATCAGGCTGCCCCAGCTTACTACACACAGGAACGCTGTGAAATGTGACATCTCTCCCAGTGCCACACGCACAGCACAGCCAGGTTGATACAGCCCTGGTTATCACCACAGGCCTCAGGTGCCTCCCGGGCAGCTCGCAAGCGTTATCACTCGCCAGCTGCACTTTGTCTTCCTTCTTCTCTCTATCTGACCAGACTTCCTCCCGACGTTTCCCTCTCACAGATTACTTTCTTAATTACCTTTGTCAGAATAACGCTGTTCTGCACTTCAGAGCTTTTAAATCCCCAAACGGACAGAAAGTACCCGAAACCCTCCAACACGGCATCACTGGTCCCTGCTGCAGGCGGAGCCGTGCGCGGGGGGTCTGTGCTGATCCCCACAACGCTGCCACGGGGAAAAGGAGCCGGAGCAGCCCCGCGAGAGACAGAGCTCTCAGGGCCACAGCGCAGGGCAGGCGGGCACCGCCCGCCCGGCTACACCTGAGACCCCGAACGTGAAGCAGTCGGCTCAGGAGGCACCGCGGCTCCGAGGCAGCAGGGGCGAGCTGCCGCGGCCCCGCCGGCACCGGACGGCAGCGCCGCGCTCCGTCCCGCCAGGCCGCGGACTCCAGCGTCGACCTGCGCGCGGGCCCGGCGGGCCCGGGGGCTGCCCCAGAGACTGCCGCGAGCCCCGCGCCGCCCGCGGCGGGCGGGCCCGGCCCTTCTCTTACCATGGCGGCGGCGGCGGCGGCGGCGGCGGCGGGAGCGGCGCTCGGTCCGTCCGGTCCCCGGGCGGCCCCGCAAGATGGCGGCGCCGCGCCACGTCCGCACCCGGAAATGTCGTCACGGGGGGGCGGGGCAGTGGCTCCTCCCCGCCGCCAGGGGGCGCGCGCGCCCCAGGGCCGCTCTGGCCATCCGGAGGGGTAGGGTTGCCATGGCGACGGCAGCGGCGCGGAGGGACACGGGGAGGGCGGAGGTGGGACACGGGGGGACACGGGGGAACACGGGGGGCGGTGGATGTGGGCCCTGGGCCGCCCTGCCCCTGACTCTGCCTCTCGGCGTAGCCCCGCCCGGTGGAGAACCAGCTGTACGACGAGAGCCTGGAGCTGCCCGAGGCCGAGCCCGGGGCCCGCTCGCCACGGGCGGGGGGCGCGGGCCGCCCGCGGGGCTCCCGCCGGCCCACGGTGTCCGGCGGCGCCGCCGAGCGCGGGAGCGGCGAGCGGGGCGGCAGCGGGAAGGTACGAGCGGGGCGGGCGGGGGGACGGCCCGGCGACACCCGGGGACATCCGGTGAGAACGCGGTTCTCTCGCCCAGGAGGAGGCGGTGGCCCACCCCGCCGCCCTCAGCGAGGACGACGACGAGGACGATGAGGATTCGGAGGAGGATTCGTCGGAGAGCGACTCGGAGGATGACTCGGAGGAGCAGGGGGCTGCGCTGGAGGGGTGAGCGGCATTACCGGCTGGACGAGCTGGGGCCGGGGCTGGTGGGGGCCGTACGGGACTCTCTGCTGATCCCCTGATCCCTAATCCCGCGAGGGTGAGCAGGATCATGGGCATCGAGACAGGCAGCTCGTCCCCAGTGCTCCAGGACGATGGTTCCTCCAGGTGATGAACCAGCCCCAGGTGCTGTTTGCTGTGCCCAGGAGAGGCAGGGCTGGAACAACCCAAGATGTCAGCCAGCCTTGGGAAGGACCATCTCAAACACGTCACTCGGCTCCTGATAATCCTCCTCTTTTTCCAACGTTTTCAGCTCCAAAGCCATTGCTGACCACGTCATTGCTGTCCGAACGTCTGCCTTTGTGCAGAGCACTTAGCCCCTTTCTGACAACTCTTTGTGGAGCTATATGATCACAACTATCCCTCGTTCAAGTACTTTTCTTGGCCACCAGGTCCAAGGCAAAACAGGGCCCAGTAGAACCTGCCACACATTAATCTTTGCCCATGACTCTCTTCCTTTCTTTAGTGACTTCAATCCAGCAGATTTTGACTACCTGCAAGTGTCTTCTGAAATCAAAGACCTCTTTGAATACATCAAGAGGTGAGTGGAAGGGTTTTGGCCTGCTCTTGGCTCTCTTTTGTGTCAATTACTGCAGCACAGTTCCTGGTCACAGATGCTGTGGTGGTGTTTTTTTGCAGGTACACTCCCAAAACAGTAGAGATTGAGCACAAGCTGCAGCCTTTTATTCCAGACTTTATTCCTGCTGTTGGGGATATTGATGCATTCCTAAAGGTACAGTTTCTTCAGGTTCCTGTCCCGGCCCTGCCCCACGGGGCAGTGGGCATGGCAGGGGCCGGTCTGTTGCTGTGCTCTCGCTCTGGGACATAATGGGCAGAGACCTGGAAAGGTACACCTGGTGGCTCGGTCACCTCTCATACAACACTTAGGTGACTTGGGGTAAGGGCTGGGTTTTCCCTTCTCCAACACCACGTGCTGTTCGGGCAGCACTGTACTGAGTACACACATCCGAGGGAGCTCACGGAAAGGCTCTGTACAAACCTGCCCTGGACTCCGCAGAGAGGGCTCTGTTCTCCTGCAGGTTCCCCGGCCTGACTGGAAGCCTGACAACCTTGGCCTGCTGGTCCTGGATGAGCCCTCGACCAAGCAGTCGGATCCCACCGTGCTCTCTCTTTGGCTGACAGAGAACTCCAAGCAACACAACATCACAGTGAGTCAGGGAGAGGGAGGTTGCACTTGCTGCACACTGCTTGGAGTGAAACCATGGCATTTTACTCTTACTTTTGTCTCTGTGACTCCAGTGTTGTGGTACAACTAAGAACTTGACTGTAAAAGTAGCAAAAATGAACCTTTTGCTTTAATCCATAGCTTTAAACTGCAACCAAAATGCAAATTTTGGTACAGACTTTGAGTCTGTTCCCTTCGGGTGATGCTTTATTTCCTTTTTGGTTATCCATACCTGGTTTTAGTTGGCATTTTGCCTGCAGAAATCCATTGATAAAGTGCAGCTGGGAAAGAGAGAAGCCCTGGTTCATCAGGAGTGAACACAGGGTTCCCAAAAAGCCTCAAAACACCACGAAACACTTCCAGGTTTATATTTGTGTTTTTAGCAGCAGATAAAAGTGAAGAGTTTGGAGAATGCAGAGAAGAACCCCAAAGCCATTGACAGCTGGATTGAAAGTATCAGTGAACTGCACCGCTGCAAACCTCCTGCCACAGTCCATTACTCCAGGTGATCCCTGATGTCAGCTCACCGCAGTCTGGCAGTGGAAGGTTGTGTGTGATCCTAAAGTTTGTTTTTCTCTTCCCTGGCAGGCCAATGCCTGACATTGAGACCCTGATGCAGGAATGGTCACCGGAATTTGAGGAGCTCTTGGGAAAGGTATGTTGTCTGAGTGATCAGTAATTAGCTCAACGCAGGGACTTAGAAACCATCTGCTGTGAAAGCCAGGTGCCTGCTCCATCCCACAGCTCAGCCCGCTCAGATTTGTTCCTCCTCACCACTTCCCCCTTGCCAGAAGTCAGAGAGCAGCCCAATGCTGGAATTCCCAGCTGCTGCCCCCGTGGCCTGCTTGTGCTCCCGGGCTCCTGCAATCCAGGAGCAGAGCTGATGGCCCCGTCTGTTCCAGGTGGGCCTCCCGACCGCGGAGATGAGCTGTGACCTCGCTGAATACATCGACATGATCTGTGGTGAGCTGGGGAGGCTGTGCTGGGGACACAACTTGCTGCTGGCCTGGCGCTCTCACTGAAAGCCAGAGGGCTTTAGCTGGAGGCTGCTGCCTCAGTGGGAAATGGCTCTTGTACTGCAGGGGACTGCAGTCTTTGGTGCACAGAAGCCCAAGGGATTGGTGGGCAGTGGGGAGCTCAGCTCTTCCTGACAAGGGTGCAAGCCCAGGTGCCCTCACACGCTGCTGCTCTTGCCCATAGCCATTCTGGACATCCCCGTGTACAAGAGCCGGATCCAGCCTCTGCATGTCCTCTTCTCCCTCTTCTCAGAGTTCAAGAACTCGCAGGTAGGCAGCTCCAGCCAGGTGCTGCTCACCCAGCTGGCAGCATTGCCCGGGTCCTGTTTGGCTTTCTGGAGCAGTGGGTGTGTGCAAAGGGCTGGTGGGCCCTGGGAACATATTCTCAGCTGCTCCTGTCCCTGGTGCCTCTGCCTGATGCAGGGAGCTCAGCTGCGCTGCCGAGCTGGGGCACCACATTGTTCAACAGGCCAGCATGAGCCAGAGCATGTTTCCTCGGGGCACTGCTGAGCACACAGCTCACACACAGCTGATGTGGCCAGTGTGTTCAGATGCATGTACTCTGAGCAACAGGAGTCGGATATTTGCACGAGCACATTCTTTTCCCTGCAGCACTTCAAGCCCCTGGCTGATGGGCAGAAAGGCAGGAGCCCACCATCCAACCCACCCTCACAAGCGGCAGAGGCAGAGGTGGTGAGCTTTACCTGAAGCTTCACATTAAACCCTCATCTCCTGGATCACTGTCTGCTGCTGGACACTAAGGTGTGCCCAGAGCAGGCTGTGAAATGTCACACAGCACATCAAAAGCCTCCTTGGTCTTGGAGACATTGCTAGGCTGTTCTGTGTTTGGAGAGTAGGACTTGACTCATTTTTGTTGCATTAGCTGCCTAATGGCTGTTTTTGACTTGTTCCCAAGGAGTTCAGCATTAAACCAGCCTTTCAAAGTGTCAGGCTCCCTGTGCTGTAGGTGCTGCAGAGCAGAGGTTTCTCGAGCACACGCTAGAAGGTTGGAGCAAACAGGAATAAATTCCACACTCAGACACAACACTCAGATCTGCCCAGGGTGTTCCTAGTCTGACCTGGGGATCTCGAATCTGTCTGCCCCTTATTACTGAGTCCACTTTTCCTATTCTCAAGCCCTTTATCTCCTGCCAAGGAAAATAACCTGCGCAGCACCACACAGACGCTCGAGTTTAGTTTATTGCTGTTGGAACGACTCTCCCCAGCCCCTGCCCTACTGCCTGCCCACCCATCTGCCACAGCAGCAGGGGCAGGGGCAGAGAGGATCATGCAGCAAGCGAGTCACAAACCTGCTAAAGCAAGGCTGGTGCTTGGCCTTACCCTGGGAGGAATCACAGCACTAAAGCCTAGCTATAAAGAGCTTTGATGCGTTTTGATTATAACAGTCTATTGGGAAAGTGAATGGGCTACATAAAAACATGCCTTGGCTGACAGTGCAGCTCCTGAGCCCTGCAGCACACAGTGTAGCACAGAGCCAGAGCTGCTCAGCGCCCACCTCCCAGAACAGCCTCCCTGGCACCCTTGGCTGCCCTGCTCCAGAGGCTGGTACGTACCTGGGGTGGGCACCTGGCTCATGGGCACCATGACTCACAGCCAGATCTCGTCACTGCTTACGCTGGGCACTTTGTAGATGCGCCCAGACATTGGGAGCTGAACAAAACCTGTAGGACAAACAGCTCATTGCCTTTTGGGGCAACCACGGAGCTCAGTATCCCACTGATACTGAGCGGGGCCACGCGCCCACCTGCACCTCCTCACCAATCTTGTTGAGGACAAGGTGATTCTCCAGCCCTGGCAGGGCACTATCTTCTCCCCTGGCACCAGCTCCCACATCCTTGGGGGAAGCTGCAGGGCAGAAAAGGAGCAAAAGCCAGGACATCTATCCCTCACCAAGGCAGCACCTGTGGCCCTATGTGTCTTGCTGCGCTGGTATGTTGGGGTTTTACCTCCATCCTCCTGTGCGAGGTCACTGAGGTGCAGGTCGGGCGGCAGGGACCGGGTTTGGCGGGGCAGGCGTGTGCTCTGGGGCTGTGGGTGCTCGGAGCCACTGCAACGGGAGCACCGGCTGGGCAGGCTGCTCCCTTCTGCTCGCCCTGGGCCTGGCACTGGCTTGGGTGAGCGGCACGCCAGGCAGGCAGCACAGGAGCCCAGGCTGAGCAGGGTGGCCAGGGCCAGTGCTGCTCCGACGGCAACACCCAGGAGGGGCAGCTCCACATGGGCATCCAGCAGACCTGCACGGGCAGTGCAGCCCCCTCAGCACCCCTCCACACAGCTGCTGTGCTGTGCCCACCCCCCCAACAGCTACCTGTGGGTAGGAGTGAGGCGGTGGTGATGCCCACGCTGTTGGCAGCACTGACGGAGAAGTTCCCAGCCACGCTGCTGAGATGGATGTGGAGCGAGTGGTTGGCCAGCCCTGGGTAGTGCGTGGCACCCAGGAGGAGGAACTCGGAGGCATTGGCCATCACGTGCCCATCCTGGTCCACCCAGGTGATGCTGGCAGGTGGGTTGGCTTGCACCAGCACAAAGAGCACCAGGAGGAGGCCAGAACCCTCGACCTCCTGGTAGTGGGCACCTGCCCTCAGGATCTCTGGCTTATCTGGGTAAAAAACAGAAACAGTGAGATGGGCAGGAGGGATGGGGGCAACACAGAGTAGGATTTGTCTCGCTAGGGTCCAGGAGCACTTTCTGCCTCCTCTGCATGGGACTGACAAGCTGCTGCTCTGCTATGGCTGTGATGGACACAGGTTATGGTGTCCAGCCTCTACCAGGCTGGAGCCCCACACACCCTCCCCATATCCCAGTCTGAAGCAGGCCAGTGCTGTGGACCTTACACTGCACGTTGAGGAGGACAGAGGCATTGTAGGTCTCCCCTGAGGCTGGGTCGGTCAGGGAGCAGTTGAGTTGGTGGTCAGAGCGCCGGGCAGTGAGGGTGAGGGTGCTGGCAGTGCCTGCAGCTGAGAGGTTGGCTTCCTGCCTCTGGCCGTTGAGGTACCAGGCCAGTGTGGCACCGGGCACTGGCTGGGGGACCCGGCAGGTGAAGGCACGGCTCTCCCCCTCCTGCAGCGTGCACACTGTCCAAGGCTGCCCGTCGATGGTGGGGCCCAGTTCCCCCAGCCCTGCCGGAGAGCCCGCGGCAGGTCAGAGCTGCAGCGGGGGTCCTGCTGCCGGAGCTGTGCAACGGACCCCAACACAGCCTCACCTGCTGAGGAGAGCGCCGGGAGGCCGAGCAGCAGGAGGGGGACAAGGGCAGACCCCGGCCAGCCCTTTGGACACCCCATGGCATATCAGCCGTGCTCAGCGCTAGGAGAGAGGCAGCTGGAGCAGGGATATGCGGCCGTCCCCGCGCGGGGCCCGCAGTGTTCCAGCACACAACAGGGCCGGAGGTTGTGGCCCGGCTGCACCTTACCTGCGGCATCGCTGCTGCTGTGTCCAGCCCGGTCTGCAGTGCGGCTTTGCGTCTGGGCCCCGGCGCGCAGGGCCGTGCATGCGGCGCGGGGGCGGGCCCGGCGCAGCTGCGAGAATCCAATCCATCCATCCCTCCCTCCGCCCGGGCGCCGCAACTGCCGCCCCCGAGCAGGACCGCTGCGCGCAGCCGCCGGGGCAGGCCCGCCGCACACGAGAGCGGCACCCAGGAGGGATAGGGGATGCACCTTCCCGTGCACCCCATCTCCCTTCTTCAACGGAGGGGCCCAGCCTCACGCCCACCAGGGCCCCCATCTCGGCGGGGCTGTGCGCGCTCGGGAATCGCGGCACAACGCCCGCAACGCCGCAAGCGGAGCCCAAGTGCCAGGGACAGGAGGAGGTTTATTGGGAGTGGAGCAGAGCAAGACACAAACAGCAAGGCACTTCAGTACTTCCCGTCCCCGGCTACCAGCCAGGAGGAGGAACAGGATCTCTGACACCAGAGATAGACCTTCTCTGGCAGCCAGGACGTGCCTGCCTATAGGCCACCTCGGGAGCATGGCTCTACCTGGCCTACTCACTCGGTCCCAGTGCCATTGGGGTTGCGCAGCCGCCCCAGCATCTCACAGAGCATCTGGTTGCAGAGTGCCGAGTAGGGGTTCAGCAGCACCAGCTGCCGCCGGGCAAAGGCGCTGCCCAGGCGTGCCGCGCACTCAAAATCCTGCCGAGCGTCTTCGTCCCGCGCCTGCAGCCGGTGGATGAGGCCACGCTGCACGAAGCTCTGGCAGGCGGCCTGGCCGCGCCCACGGCTCAGGCGGATGGCGGTGTCCAGGTCCTGCAGGGCACCTGGTGAGGGGGAGAGGGGCATTGGTGGGGTATGGGGATACCAGGGGACCACCCGCTCCTGTGCTGCTCACCTGCCACGTCCCCCCGCAGGCGCAGGGCCTGGGCCCGGTTGTTGTAGCCTGAGGCGCGCTCAGGCAGCAGGCGAATGGCCTCGCTGAACCGCTCCAGGGCCGCGCTCACGTCTCCCGACTCAGCCGCAGAAACTCCCTGCAGCTCCAGGTCCTGGACCTGCTGCAGCAACTCCAATGGAAAAGCTTCCACTGTGGCAATGCAAACAGGAGCCCTGGGCTAGGAAGTGGTGGCACCAGGACACCCCGTGGGCTGCAAGCCTTAGTGCCACCCTACACCTCCAGTCCAGGGAGGGAACAGGCACAGGACAGGGTGGTGAGGTCCAGCCTCAGGCAGGAGCTGCTCCCAGCCTGCAGAGCCTCCTTCTCTGCCTGCCAGCTCACCCCATGGGGACCCTGCCACCAATTCCAGTGAGAACCAGTGCAGTGTCACCTCACCTTCCAACTCGATGTCCTCCTCCTCATCATCCAACCCTGGGATGTCCCCAAAAGGGGTGCTGGGGTTAAAGATGGTCTGCAGGACAGCCCTGTCGTTCGCCGTGGCCATGGTGCCCTCTGTGCCACTGAGGCCTGTGATGGGGCTCCAGGGGGAGGCTGTGGGTTGGTTAATGTTCACACTGCCAGCCCCACCTCACCCTGCCCCATCCTATTGCAGCCCAGGCGTGAGGCCCCACCACCTGGCCAGTGCCCCCCATGTGCACTGGAGCTGAGGGCTCCTCACCAAACACCCCGTGCAGCCCTCGGTGCTGGCCAGGGGCTCCTGTCCCCAGCGAATTTCCTGGAGGAGAAGCAGCTTCTCAATCCTCAAGAAGAAATGGAGAGCAGCCCTCTGCAGCAATAAACTTGACATGTTTATTAATTAAACTATCACTTAAATAAAAAAAAGTGCATAGAAAATAAACATGTTTAAAAACTCCTTTGTTTTTTTGTATTTTTACAACTATGTACACTTTTTATTTTTACATTCAGTCTTTTGCAGAGCTTTCAGCATTTTTTTAAACTATTAAAGTATTTCCTTCTTCCCTGTGGCAGGGAGTTAACACTGATGTACTTTAGACACGTTTCCTCTTTTTTTTTTTTAAAAAAAACAAAAACAAAAACAACCAGAAGCTTGGAAGAACACAAGAAAAAAAAACGTTTTGTTATACATGATAAGTTGTCAAGAAATGTATTTCTAGAACATAACCTTGCCTTTGCAGAGCTTTTTTTTTTTTTTTTTAAACAATTATTCACCTACCTGTAGTTACTAAAGAGACTGTAAGTTCAATAAAAGAAACACCACAAGTATAGTTCTCGGCTGATAGACAAAGCTACTGTACCTCGTTAAAAAGATACCAGGAAAGCACAGAGCACATTTTTCCCTATATGCAGGTGGTACCCCAACATTCATAACCAAAACGAGAGGAAGGAAAGGAAGAAACCAAGTTGTACAAGTACTGACTGTAACAAGAAGGGCCGGGAAAGGCCGAGCCACCCGCTCCCGGCTCCCTGCCCTGGCTGCCAGCGGGAATGCGCAGCAAGGCTTTCCCAGCGCCGTGAGCAACTGTAACACAATCCTTATCTATAGTGTTAAGAGAATTAAAAGCCATGGACCGATACTGAACTAGGCTTCATTACACGGTGCATTACTATATTAGTTCCTATATATACTGTATTTATAGTTATAAAAAAAAACTTGCGAGTGTTGAGAGTGGACCAGTGTATGGGTGAATGGCATGATTCTGCACAGACCGTCCTGCTGAAGAACCTGGTATTGCTTTGAAATGAAAGAAAACCAGAAAGAAAAGATACCCAGCCCTTTGCAATGACCCGCTTCTCCTTTAAAAAAAAACCATGTCGCTTTGTACAAAGAAAAATAAACGCCCTAAGGTTCCTTTTTTAGTATTTTCAGATACCATGATCTGTGTCAGTCCTTATAAAATATACATTCATACATGGGGAGCTGGGTGCTCCCGACTGGCTGGGGCGAGGGCGGGCAGGCTGAGTCCCCGCAGCCATGGCTGCCCCGGCCCTGCTGCCGCTCGCCCCACAGGCCCGGGCACAGCTCCCCGGGGGTACAGACAGTTTCACTGGCCACAGCAGCTCCCGCCAAGGCAGCCGCGACGGGAATAGCAGCAAAGCGGGCAGCCCACCGGCTCGGCTGGTCCCGGCGGGAGGAGGATGCCTGGCACTTGGATCTTGGGGAGCTCCCCCCGACCCTCCTTCCCACTTCTCCCCACGTGGTGTGGCTCTGGGCAGCGCTTCCCAGCGGAGCCTCCTCCCGCAGCCAGGACATCGGGAGGCGGCAGCAGCGTGGCGGAGCTGAGCTCTGGGATAAATTCATGGGCTTCCCCACAAGGAGGGCTGAGCCCTCACCCTGCGTCAGAAACAGGGAAGGAAAAGGGCCGAGAGCAGCCATGCCCGGGGCCACGGGGCCCAGATCCCCAGGGCGGGCACTCTCCGGGCTCCTCAAGGTATGTGCGTTCCCAAACTGTCAGTGCATCAAATCATCTCAGTAACAAATGCAGCGTCAATGTGACTTTGCTTTCAACAGTTACCACCAAATTATCCTCACACAGTGCAATAACGAAAGGAAACCGGCAGGTCACGACCCTCCAAGCGCTGTTTTTCCTCCTCAGGGCAGAGGAAGAATTCTCAAGACCCGAGAGGTGCAGATTCAGGGTGCCCCTCTGAGAGACCTGGGGAGTCAGCAGCTGTTCCTGGTCCCTTCCCCACCAACTGCTGGTGCCGGTTCAGAGCAGCCCTCGGACCCACCGGCTCCTGGAACGGCCGCTGACCTACCCCACAGGGACAGCTCAGGAAAGAGAGAGCACTCTCTGCTTTCCCCTCTCTGCGGAAAAACCCATCTGCCTTTGAGGGAGAGACTGAAGGAGGAGGCACGTGCCCCAGACCGGCCTCTTTCATCCCAGAAAAGAGGCATCGAGGGTCAGGTCTCTCATTCGGCCTCGCTTTTTTTTTTTTTTTAAACCCTCCGCTAGTGCACAGCAAGGCGGAGTCGCCTCCTGCCCGGGGCACAGACTGTCCTCCTACAGAGCCAAACTCCTCCCACGCTGGGCAGCTCTCCCTCCTGCCCCCATCTTTACAGGCAAGTACAGTTTAAGGTCCAGCCAACCCTCCTGGAGACAGTTACTGAAGTCAAAAAGGCAGAACAAGAGTAGAAAACAAAACTAAAGCAACCCCCCCTCTGGAGAAAGGCTCAGACTGTGTCCAGCCAGGTATTTCCTAGAACCGTCCTATGAAAATAAAAAAATCATTAAAAAGAGATTCTCTTAAATTAGGATAATACCACTGTTTAAAAAGCCTCGTCATAAGTGCTTTCCCCTATGAAGTGCTTCTCATAGAAAAATATACAAAATATATTTACATTTATAAAACCTTAAATACTAAACTGTAAACAGAACAGAGCAGAATCCAATGTCGTCGCTGTCAGGGGCTCTCACTTCTCTCTCAGGTTTTGCTCTGAGGCGCAGGGCAGACCCCGTGGGGAGGAGGACTCACGCCGCTCCAACCAGGATGGTGGTGTCCCTAGACTCATCCAGACCCCGCTTGGTTCCTGAGCCACCACCTCACATATTTCCTATGGGTTTTGGGATGCTGTACGGACAAGGCTGGCTGGTGCTTGGCCTTGTCTTTGCAGAGAACTTTGGCTCCATTTTGGTGCCCCTCCCGTGCCTTTCGTGGAACACGTGACTACACCCAGACCACGAACCACGACAGGCACGTGCCCAGGGTCACTCCTCTGCCTGCCCCCCTGGCCCTGGGACAGTGTGGCATGGCAGAGCAGAGCGGGTGCCCCCACACCATTCCTTCCTAGCTCCTGCCCTACAGTGGTGTGTGGCTGAGTCCAGGGCCACCTTGCACCACCCCTCTCTCCTTAAAGACTTCTGTCCAATCCCTTGGACCAGCTCCATGGTGACCAAGACACTGCTGGCTGGCAATGCCAGGAGCTTGCTGAGCAGAGGAGGATGCCAGCTGCTGGAGACAAGATCCAGAGAGGAGCACTTCCCTCCCACACAACCAGGGAGGGAAGTGCTGAAGTGGGAGCCTTTGCTGGCAAAGATTTACAGCACCCCAACTGTTGG